CTGTCCAGTAAAAAAGAAACATAATAAAAGCAATAAAATAAAATGATTATTCTTGCTTCTGGGTGGAGGGTGGATCAGGTGGGGCAAGAAAAGAAAGACAAGTAGTGATTATGACAGTTGCCCAGAGATTAAAGGTGATGGTTGCTTGTATTAGAGCAGTGGCCCTGGAGATGGGTGGTGGAGGGAGAAGCGTGTAGATTTGGGATGTTTTGGAGGCAGAAATGATAGAACACGTGATGAATGGTAGATGAAGGATGAGAGTAGTTAGGACGTCAGAGAGGACTTCCAGGTGTCTGGCTTGAGCAGTTGGCTGGATGATGAGCCATTTTCCAGATGGTTTCCTATTCATAGTCTCAGTGACTTGGATGAAGTCCGATTCAAGATAGGAAGCTTGATGAGGTCATTGATACATTAGTAAAAAGGATCAACAATTTTTAAAAATCACAAGGCTGGAGAGATAAAATGGAATGGAAGTAAGTGCAGGGGGTAAAATATTATGTAGGACAGGACAAGGAAGATTAGCCTAATAGCAGTTCACACCAGAAGCTCAGTAAGAATGAAAAGTGTGACGTGGATGCCATAGAAATGAATACTGAAATAGTCTGCCTTAAGAGAAGCATGATGCCCAACTCTAATTAATACTTTTACCATGCTTTGTACTGTTTGGACCAAAACCGCTGTGATGGCATTGTGCTTTTCGTGGCACACAGCCATTAAAAAAGGATGGTTGAGAAACTGGACCATGACTGACATGTACACAGCCTGACTCTGCATCACGGGATGAACAGCTTGAAGAACTGGAGACGCTGAAGTCAAAAAGCACAATCCTGAAATAAGCCCCATCAGGCGGACTGTAAGGTGGAAGAGGGTTTAATTTCAAGTAGATTCAAGTAGGGCCAGAGAGTAAAATGAAGACCCCAGGGTAGAAATAGCTACAGTAGTTTTAGCTCAGCGTCAGACCCAATGCATAGCCCTTTCAAGAAACTGGATAGGTTGTATATGTGTCCCCTGACAGAAGACATTTAGCAAACCTCGATGCCTGTGTGTTGGCATGGAGCACGGGGAGCTCCTGTCCTGGGTGAAAAGCCAGACAGTGTGGTCTCTAAAGGTCTCTTCCCACTCCAGGAGTCTACAATTGTGTTTCTTAACAAGCCTCTTTCTTCTAAGGGGACACAAAGTCTCCTAGGATGTTCTTGCGCCACATCTTCCAAAGTGAGGCTGACAGAAGGTTCTCAAAAGCTCCCTGATCACGTTCTGCACAAGGCTCGCTCCCCTGCCCCTGCCTCTGCCTCCCCCCGGGCCCAGGTCCAGTCACATGTTCTAGGTCCCTGTCTCTTCAAGCCTTAATGCTGAGTCTGAAATATCAACACCCTGGCAACTCAAATTCCCTGTTGCTGAGGTTCAGTTTCCATTGAAATGTTTTTCGGCAAGCAGCTTTTGCCCTAGTCATATTAAAACTGTAGGTTAATGGTTAGAAGTGCGAAAGCTTACATGATATCCAGGTGAAGTGAAAAAATGAATCATTAGTATTTCTCTTAGCACAGGAATACCAGCTTATGTTTCTCTTCCTGAAAACTATAATTATATGTAGAAATATATAATTGGACAAATAGGGGCACCATCTTGCTTAGAATAGAAGCAATGTTCAAGTAAGTCATTGTATTCTCCTGAGTCATTGCTCCTGCTTTTTTTTTTTTTTAATTTCTATTATTATTATTACTTTCTCTTGGAAGCAAAAATCTCCTACCCCAAGAGGGGAAAAAAGTACCACTCAGAGGATATTAAAAAGTATTTAAATTAAGAAAAAATAAACTTGAGTACTCTAAAATTCTTAGACAATCACATTCACTTGCTATTATTTTCAATTAAATTTATTGGGATGACATTGGTTAGTAACATTATATAAGTTTCAAGTGTACAATTCTGTAATACATCATCTGTATACTGCATCGTGCAGTATACAGTCCCCCAAAGTCCCAAAGTCCCTCCGTCACCATGTATTTGACCCCATTACTCTCTTTATCTTCCCTCACCCACCCTTCCCCTCTGGTAACCACCTTCCTGTTATCTGTGTCTTTGAGTTTATTTTCTTCTAGATGTCACATTTTCTATGTCTCTGACATCTCTGGATGTCTCATGACTGGATCCTCTTAAACTCTTCTAGGATCTGTTATATCCAATTAGATGACTTACTGCTTCTAAGAATCTAAACAAGGAGATAGATTTTTCTAAAGTGTAGTCCTGTTAGTACTGGAATCTGTGATAGCCTAGAGCAGTCTTAGAATTTCACATACAGAATTTGCCTTTTAGTGACCAAATAGAAAAAGGATTTTGTTTTTATTAGTTTTTAGTCTTCGAAAGGCAAATCTGTGTTTTGAGAGAAGTGGAGAGCCTTCAGAGAGTGGGTGGCCAAGGACGAATGCTACCCTACTTGCACTGTACAGGTCCTTTGTCTGGGGGCAGTGTTATATCTCTTAAACATGGGAACAAGGGGTTGCTTCATCACTGTGGGAGGACCTCATTCTCCCTTTAAGTGTGGGGAAGAGGATTGGTGAACTCCTTACTAAAATCCTCCCTGATCAGTACTTCTCTTGCCCTGGCTGGTGTAGCTCAGTGGATTGAGCAGCAGCCTGTGAACAGAAAGGTCACCAGTTTGATTCCTAGTCAGGGCACATGCCTGGGTTGTGGGCCAGGTTTCAGGGCGTGCAAGAAGCAACCAATCGATGTATCTCTCACACATGGATGTTATTGTCCCTCTCTCCTTCTTTTTCTCCCTTTTTACCCCTCTCTCTAAGTGTAAATAAATAAAATCTTTTAAAAAGCACTCTCTTACTTGAAAAAGAAAAATAAGTGATAGGAGTTTATGAAGAAATCCTTTATCTCTTGGCAAGGGCCACAGCAGCCAGCTAAGCATCATCTACGAAGAGATGCAGCCTAACAGACTGCTGGACTGCTTAACGAGGTAACCCCGTGCAGGAGCCACGTGGTCCCAGGGGCTGTTCAACAGAAGTTGCCTTAGAATATTTCTTTTGCTAATAGGTAACTAGTTCTCCCAGACAAAAGGCCTTTGGTTAATCATTATGTAGATTTTAGTAATTACCCCTTCTGCTAGGTACACAACTCCTACAAGGTCATACTCTTTACTCATTAGCCTGGAGCTCAGCGGTAAAACACCTTACTTCCCCAGGTCAGTCCCAGGAGAACTGATTCCACAGGCTGCACGGTCACGCCAGAATAGCACAGGGCTAATCCTAATCTGGCACCCATCCTACCCCCAACTGGGAAGCCCATGCTATTCTATGCCACACACAGATCCTCGATGGCCTGTCACATGTGCGTGTAGAAGTTGCCCCTTAGTGTTCAGTGACTTTAAAATCATGTGTGAACTCTGAGTAAAATTCAAAGTTTACTTCTTCAGCATAAATATTGTTTATCTGATAAGATGAAAGAAACATCTGTTGTATCCTGTATCTTACTTTCTGGCAGAGCATATCAAATTATGTTCCATTCGTATCTCAAAACTACTGGACTGGTTAATAAATGCTTGCTCTCAGTTTCTTGTGTCCCTCAACCAGAAGAGATAACAAGGGACTTCTACTAATCACCCTTCTGCTCAGGGGATTTCAGAGCCAAGTCAGTGCATATTTGAATGTACTTCCTTACAGTCATATCTTTACCTAAATTTCCCTTTACTAGCTGGTCCCTTTTATTTACTAACCTTCACCCAAAATGCTAGGTTTTCTATTCTTTCTCCCAGTGTTTGCTTTACTCCTGCTGAGCTCTGTCCCTCTTGTGTTTTCTGGCCATCCTTGGCAGCCCATCTGCTCTGCAGTTGGCCATTTTGTTCTCCCCATTTACCTTCTCACGGCTGTACCGCCCATAGTGGAAACAAAATGCCGTAGTGCCTGAGAGAGCTAAGGAACCGTCTTTCTGTCGAGGGCAAGGGAAGGCACCTGAGGAGGGGAATTGCAAGCTGGGCCAAAAGGCGGTGATTCAACAGGTGGGAGAGGTGGGGAAAGGGTTTGGGAAGGAGACAGCCCACACAGAATCACATGCTGTGTCAAGTACCTCTCAGGAGCACCTGCTAGAAAAATAATTGCCTCAATTACTCAAACACGGAATCCATCACAGTAATGTACTGTTTTAGGAATATATTTCCTTATATCAGGAAATGAGTGGTTTCATCTGGGGGACTGGACATTTTTTTCTTTTTAATAAATAGGCTTTAGTTTTAATTATATGTCTGTTTCCACCAAATGATTCAGAAATAATCTGTGTAATCTGCCACATCATTTTAACTGCTTTTCCTTGAGGAAGATTTCATAATAAGCCAGATGTACTAAAACAAAAACATGAGTTCATCATTCAAAAATGTATTTTCATTGTGCTTGATTGTCAAAAATTTTCCCATCCATTAGAAGAGATGCTTATTCTTTCAAGAGGGACCAGGTGTGGGGGGGGGGAGTGAATTATATCAGTGGTCCAACATATAGACTCATAAATAGCCATTTATTAGATGAAAAGAACTTTGGACATTAATTGGCTTGTGTCTTTAGATTGTAGGTGAGGAATCTAGGGACGAGAGAAACCGAGCCACTTGCCCAAAGTCCCACCCATGGTCACTGACCTAAGGGTCCTCCCCAGCCTCCCCAGTCCCCGGACCCCTTCCTCATGCCTTCTTATTCGGATGGAACAGGGCACCACAGACTGCAAAAGCTTTCTTTCATAATGTTTTAGAATCATCCTAACTGAAGAGACCCCCCTCCCAATTGCTATTTAGGCTTTGGACTGTCCGTTACTCAGATTCTAATGGACAGTTCTTTATTTGGTAGAACATTTTTATCGAGGGTTTTAAAGAAAGTGTGATTAATAGTTTACAAAATTTGGATACCATCAACAAATAGTGTTAACCATATAAATAAACCCTTGTCCTTCTAAAATGTAAGGTGTGAGAGTATGTTCTTTTATAGTTATTACACAACATCTTGTCTTTGCTTTAGGATACTTTTGTCTTCAGTGACACTGCTGTCTATATATTCGATAAACCTTCTGTTGATCTGTTCAAAAGAAACAGGTAAGCTGATAATATGTCTAATTCAGTTAAGGCCAGGATGAATGATTTTGATGGTGATATCGTCAACAAATGATGCTCCCCCTGTTCAGAAACTTGATCATTAAAGAAAAAGAGTACTTAGATCTAGTCACTGGGAGACCTATATTAGTTTTTACCTAGAGAAACAGATAGAGCAACTATAAAGTAAATTATCATGAACAATGAACAATAGTGTCATTTGAAGTAAACCCTCAATTATACCCATTTTTTCTAGTTTAAGATGACTTCATTTTAAAGGCTTCACTTTTTCTTTGGCTCTTTATAAATTCAGAACAAGGATCCCATGTTTTTTTATATTATAGCCTCCAGGTTTTAAAAGTAAACAGAGCTTTCATTCTCTTTTGTACATATTCCAAGGAGAAAATGTTACTTCTGAGGCAATGTGGGAGTGAGTGTGCTATGGAAAGATTTAAAGTACTCTGGGCAATGTAACACCTGAAGTGTTTATTTTCTGTTCCTGGGATACAGGCTTATGTTTGTAATACTTTGACTTTTACATTAGCTAAAACCACATTGGCCAACTATTGTATATAGACAACTCCATTTAAGTGGCACATTTTGTAATAAATTGAGGATCTAACCATTGTCTGGTTTAAACACCAACCTTACGAGAGATTAAACAAAAGTTTAATTTAGCCTGACCCATATTACTTTCTGTGAACCTTTTGAAAATGTGAGCTGAACTGTCATAAAGAAATATAAACATTTTTTAAATGAATGGTTTAGAATCTTAGTATTTATTGAGATAAGCTAGTTGAACACTTTAGAATTTTGCTGTAGCCAAATTGTTCTTAGGTAAACTTCTCTACTGCTTTTTTGTGAGTTGCTTATCTTTGAACTAAGTTTTATAAACGGTCAGAATTCTGATGTCACAACTGTTGCATGTTTTTAAACATGTTATATTTGGGGCACAGGCATTGATGGAATATGACCAAGATAGTTCTTTGTTAGCTAATCACTCAGCTTATTAATTCGAAAGGAACCTTTCATCCCAACCATCAGGATTTTTAGTTTTAGATCAAATCTTTATTTTAATGATACTCCCCAGACCCGAGAATAAGATCAGAGTGGGAATTTTCCCCCAATAATGTAAAAAGATTATCTGAGGTACAGGTAGTTAAAAATAGGCCTTATGACCTAATAGTTTAACAGTTTGTAGACAATGTGAAAAAGGAGAAACTGTGGTCATGGCTGACATTTGAAAATGTCAGGAGAGTGTTTTATAGTAAGAATGCCTTAACCCTCGCAAAGCCAGGGAGGCTGCTGGTGTGATTCTGAAAAAGGCACAAAATAACGTGGGAAATAGTCAAAGCATGATAAAATCTTGGCAGTTTTTAACTTTTACAGCCCTGCCATTTCTCATATTCTCAAATATGATTTCTAAATAGGCTGCATGGTTTATGAGAAGCTGGGTGAACAGGTCTTTGGCACCACGGGGAAGTTTGTCATCTTTGGAGCCACCTCTCTACAGAACACCGGAGGTAAAGACAAACGCAAGTGCGCTTCTCTGTACATAACGTTAAAGTAGGTGAACACTATTATGTTCTCTAACTCTGGTGGTTGGGTGGTCATATGGATTTTAACATAATTCAGAACGTATTATCCTCACGGCTAAAATGGCACATGGAAAGTAAAGCAGAGACGGCAGTAACTTATTTAAAACCAAGGATACTGCGAGAGTATCTAAAGCAGACTTTGTGCCTTATTGAAGGTTAGTCTAAGAACAGGCTGGTAACCTTTTATATAGCTTGCAACATGAGCCTCAGTATCTTCTTTCTAAAATGTTCTCATTTTCCTCTAGCAATGCTGAGCTACCTCTTCATAGTAAAAAATGAACTACCCTCTGCCCTAAAGTTTCTAATGGGAAAGGAAGAGGCATTTTCGTAAGTTATAGTCCCTTTTTTATTTTGTAAGATAACTAAAATGTTTTTAATTTAAATGTGAGCTAACCAAGGTTTTCATTTTATGAAAATTGTCAAAACAAAGTTTTCCCCAGGCTGTTTTTTTCTTTGTTGTTTCTATAACAAATTTCTCTGGAGTCATATAAATAAAAGAAGGAGAGAGAACCACTTGAATATGAGCATTTAAAAGGTAGATTCGTCTGCCATGCTGCAAATGGTAGATGCTGCTTTTTCCCAAGAGTTTGAAATCTGTATCTGGTTTATGTGAAATAGAGCATATATGGAATATTTTTAACACAGAGGTGGAACAGGCAAAAAATAAGAAGAAGAACCTTTCTTAAAGAAGGGACACAGCATTTTAGTATCAGAATTTACATGAGCCACCTTCATTAATAATGCAGTTAATCCTGGAAAATGTTGCAGCTACATTTGGCACATCCATTATATTTTGACTCTCCATTGTTTTAACAGTTCTTGTCGGTCTCGGTTTCTCTGTTTTCCTTCAAGGGAGAATCATAGAAGCCATAGTTCCTAGTCTTCTATAATCAGGATTCAAGGTCAAATACAAGAGAGAAGGGAGAGAGCAATGCCTACCTGTGAGGACTTGTTTTTTGGTGATAGTAGCCAAGCAAAACAAAAAGGAACTTTCTCTTTAAATAATTGATAATACAAGTTGTAATCTGACAGAATGCAATGTGTGCATTCAGCTTTGAAACCACATAAATAATTCAAAGGAATGCCACATTTAGCCAATGGGGAAGAAAAAGAAAACAACATCCCTCCTTCCATCACTTGAGAGAAAGACAATAATAAATGAGTGGTTGGGTTAACGTGTTTATAGATTCTGAATAATGATAAAAATTAATAATAGTAAAAAAATTAGTTAAAATGTATTGTGAAATTTTACGCCTAAGAAAAAAGTGTAGCTTTCAAGGAACTATGACCTAACTGCTTAAATGCCTTTCAGAGCCTGGTACGTGGATGGCCGTGTTCTGGTGGTGATAGTTACTGTCGGCATAATTCTCCCTCTGTGTCTCTTGAAGAATTTAGGTAAGGCAAGACCTTGCTTTTATCATACTCTCTTACAGTGCCCAGATGAATCAGACACCTAACAAAATGAACAACTTTGCCTTTTACTTTTACTTGTATGGTAAAGACTGAGTAAATGGTAAATTACAAGTATTAATCAGTGTTAGCTTTAATAAGGCATAAAAACACTGGTCCTAAGCAATTGCTCTAATTAGCTGTGGAGGGGAGAAGTGAGGTTCTGGGCCAGCAACAGACAGTGCTCGTAGGCTATTCTGAGAAAAGGCCAAAAAATGGAATGCTTCTCATGCAAGGTCTTAAATACCCTGATTATTTAGTCAGTTAGATTTTTAAATCTAATCTCAAGACAGAAAATTGCATATTTTTATACCCCAAAGTAAAATGAATTACTCTTAAATTATCAAAGTCTAACCAATCTCAATTATTTGCTTCATTAAAGGGAAAGAGAAGTGAAAAGTCAGAAGTGGTGAACAGTCACTAAGTCGTCATACCCATTCTGTTTTGACTTTTTTTGTGTGTGCTTACAATCAGAGGCAAGTGTGCCTGATATTACGGGAGTTTCACACACTGAATAATGTGGCCGCACTGCTGTCTGCTCCAAAGCCTCTGAAATGTGTTTTCTTTAGTTCTGGGCTAATTCCAGGCAGACATTTAAAGTTCTTCCCAAAATGAGAGCTAACCATAGTTTTTTGTTTTATTTTGTATAAAAAATTATCAAGCCTTTCTTTGTAGCTGTCCTGTAAGATCTATAAGTAGACTTAAAACAAACAAACAAAAAAAACCCTACCTAATTCTCTGGTTTCTGGGTCTGTGTTTAGGCTTTTCTATGCATGACCACATAACTCTTCAGTTTAAGTGGAGGAGGGCTCTTCTCCCCTAGGGATGAGAATAGTGCAGCCCCTAGAGGCCAGTTAACTCTGCCTTTCTGGAGGTTACGGTGGTGGGAGCTCGGTCAGGCATTCTAAGGGGAGCAAGGAAAAGATCCACGGATGCTCAATTTATCCCTAGATATCACTTCATCTCCTCTGTGCATGCCTCATTGGGGAAGAGAGGTATTGTGGCTGATAGCCGTCATGCACACAATAAGTGAACAATAAAGAGTAATGGATTTGGCTGCAGGTATCTACCAGAATACAGCAGCAGAAACCTATGACTACGTCTGAGAGGCTGGTTTTCCCTGAATTCTAGGAATCTGTGTTCTCCAGTGTGCCAGGGAGAACTGGAATCAAAGCACATAATATAATGTTTTTAATTAAAGTCACATTTTTGCCAAGTAAAATAGCACTATATAATAATAAATCTTATATTCATATTGGCATGTATGTATACTGTTGGAACCCCAAACTACACTTGAAAAAATGCATTGAAAGAAATCAGGTGATGGATGAAATCATAATACTTTTTTAAAACTTTCTTTAGGGTATCTTGGCTATACCAGTGGATTTTCCTTGAGCTGTATGGTTTTTTTCCTAATAGTGGTAAGTGCTGGTTGGAATGGTTGGTTTGGTTTTGCCATAGTACAATGCCATGTAACAATTATTCTTTATTTGACTTTGGTTGAGAAATTCTATATTGTTTCTCCTATATCAGGTTATCTATAAGAAATTTCAGATTCCCTGCACTGTTCAACATCTAAATTCAACGAATGCTAGTTCAGCAAATGCTGACATGTGTACGCCAAAATATGTTACCCTCAATTCAAAGGTAAGTTTCTTTATCCTTAAATATAAAAAGAACATTTTTATTAAGGGCATTATATTTCTTATTCTTGTAGTAATTAAACTGTTTTGAATGCATTCAATCTTAAAACAATACAGTATCCCTGCTTCCAAATTCCACAATGCATTTAGAGACCTTTGAGAAATACACAAATATTGGATTTCATGCTCTCTCTTAACCTAGTTTACATGTAGGACAACCTTAAGTATTCTCTGTGAAAATCTCTTTCTCAATAATTGTCTCAGTTCTTCTCTTCCTTATAGATCTTTAAAAAACATCCTTAGGATGTTAAGGATTTATAACACCCGTAGCCCACTGCTTCCTCTCTGGTGGAAACAAAAAGGAATACTTCAAATTTCTCCAGCTTGCACAGCTGAAATATAGATGCTGCCACAATGGCACTTAAGAAGCTTTCATACTACTGAGATATTGCTAATGGTATAGGGAACAGGGGACTGTGGAACCACGTAGGCTTGGATTCGAATGCTCAAGCAGGTTACCCAATCCTATGTGTGAAAGCGAGTATTTTATTCTATATCTTACAGGTTTTTTCTTTTCTTCAGTTAGAATCTTTTTTTCTTTTTTTTATCCTCACCCAAGGACATGCTTATTGATTTTAGAGAGAGGGGAAGGGAGGGAAAGAGGGGGTCAGAGAAACATCAATGTGAGAGAGAAACATCGATTGGTTGCCTCTTGTACACACTCCGACTGGAAGGCTGAACCCGCAGCCGAGACATGGGCCCTGACCAGGAATCAAACACGTGACCTTTTGGTTTGCAGAAAAATGCTCCAGCCAACTGAGCCACACTGGCCAGGGCTTACAGGGTTTGGTTTTATTTATTTGTTTGTTTGTTAAAGACTGTGCCTGGTATAATGCTTGGGCAGAATTAGAGCATGAGAAATGCTACTTTTCCTTCTCTACCAGCTTCTTTTTGCATAAGAAGTTGAATGTGAAAGTTTTAAAAAGTCATATCTAAGAAAACTAAGTCTCTCCCTTTCTCTCTCTCTCTTAACTCTATGGATGCAACCAAAGCAGTGAATGTGGAGCTAATTTTGTTTTTAGATGCCATCTTTTAAATCTGATTAAAGGTACCTTATACATAGCAAAGAGCAGTAAAATGGATGTGGAAGTCCTAAGCATGTCCCCTAACCTTTGGAGGGAGTCAGGAAAACAGCAGTGGCCTGTCTTCTGCTCAGGGTTGCGAGGGACCCAGCGAGAGAATGTAGTAAAGTGCTATGTAACTGGTTAGCGCCATGTAAATATGGGTTATGCTATGTCTAGAGTATGTAGAGTACTCTGTAGGTGAGCTGAATTAAAATCCTTCTGTGCCAAGCACCTAATGTCTCAAGCTAGATAAGCTGTCTTGGAAAAGCTACTCCTATTTTAGATATCAAAGCCCTCCTAATAACCAAATAATCCAGGGATTCTGAAGAACTGTCAGATAAAAAAAGACAGCTGAGAAATACTGGGGCTATATAATTTTATGGTAAAAATACCTTTTTTAATGTTTTTTTTTCTTTTAAATAGACCGTGTATGCTCTACCAACCATTGCATTTGCATTTGTCTGCCATCCATCAGTTCTGCCAATTTACAGCGAGCTTAAAGAGTAAGAGTTTTTTAATCTTAATCATTTTATAATCCCTCATTAATGGGCAAGCACTGTATTAAAATAAAGACTCATGTAACGAGCTCCCATGGCCTTACCACCCAGTTTCAACATGCATGTTGTGCCGTTCTTGAGCAGTGCTGTATTTTAAGGGGAAAAAAAAGCAAGAAAAACCAGAAATCTGCAGTATATTTTGGGTGTAAATATATTAAGTAGCCAACTATGTGGGCTTTTTTTGTTGTTGTTAATCTGGATTTTCAAGTGTGTATTACTTAGGAGAATTCAAGTATTTGTGTTGCTCTATGTAACTTACACTTATTTGGCAGGTAGAATATAATCTTCAGATTCCTCTGTAAACTGCTAAATACATTATATTTGACCTGCCTGTTGGTTTAAGTGGAAAAGGCTGGTAAATCAGGCAGAGAGAAATTAATGATAAGACCACAAACTAGACAAAAGAATTTTGTTGTTCATTTTAAATTATTAAGATGTTTCTGAGCATTTATTTTTTGATTGTTATTCTAGAGAAAATTAAAGGTGTCCTTACAGATTTCCTCATTGGTCCTCTTTTTAGCTTACTGCTATCATACTTTCTATATAAAAAGTCATCTTGACCTAATCTTAAGCTCAGAAAAGATACATAACATAGCTATTACCATTTTGAAACAAAAATAAAGTTAATATCATTTAGCATTTAATTCAGTCATGATTCTTCCTCTTTCATACTTAATCATTATAGGTAAATTTTGAAATATTTACATCTACTTATCTATGGGTATATCAATGCTACCTTTATGATCCTGTATTTAGAGTATTTAAATATCTTTGGCATCTTTTAAATTTTATTGTCCAGCTTTTAGTTTCTAATTTTCTCATGTGTGTACTTCTCAATTTTTCTTGTCTTCCGTACTCCCTGTTATGACACAGGCAGATATGACTATTGGTCGTCTGTTACTGAGTTACAAGTCTTGTGGATTAATTATCTGGGCAGTTAAAGAAACTTAAAGGCCCATCCAAACTCCCAGAGTAAACCTGACCTAAGAGCCAGGGTCCCTCAACATCACCTTCCTGTGATCTTTTGGGTAGTTATTGCTGTGGAGAAATAGACTTCTAGATGCGTCCCTCGGGCTACTCAGTGGGAAAACTGGAACCTAACTAACAGCTTTAGCAACAGAACACCTGAGGTCAAGTTCCAGCTCTGCCCTTAGTCTCTGGGGCTAGGAGAACAGTATTTGAATTTATTCTGCCTTTTTTCCTCTGAAGGCTGAATGTGGAGATAATATCACACAAATATTTAAAAAATACTCTCTGCCCTTCAGATAACAACTTGATATTCTTTCAAAAGAATAGGTAAGAACATGCAAATAATTGTTAGTTCCATAGATCTCTCACTCACAATACCCATCTGGTAGAAAAGAAGTTATTCTAAACTGGCAAAATTGCCCAGGGTTAATTCAGCTGGTCAGATCTGCCCACCCTGATAGGAAGTTTAGTATTAATTAACACTTCCATATGAACACTGGTGTTTAAATTCCATAACATGGTTTTTAATTTTTCAAAATTTTTTATTTTTGTTTTTAGTCGATCCCAGAAAAAGATGCAGATGGTCTCAAATATCTCCTTTTTTGCCATGTTTGTTATGTACTTCTTGACTGCCATTTTTGGCTACTTGACATTCTATGGTAAGTAATTCCTGTCTGTGCATAAATGTAGATAATTGTAAATGAATTAGTAAAAAGCAATCTCAAAATAGTGTTTAACATGACAGTGAAAAAAACAACCCATCTATCCATTGATTTTGCTGGTCTTTTCCTCTACTTAAAGCAGCTGCACAATAGAATAGTTACCAAAATGATATACTGTATTTTTTTTCTCCTAACACAGTCCTTAAAAGAAATAGCCTTTTATAAGCATACCACCTGGTACCGAGGAAAGTGAAAACTATATCAGAGAATTTCCTAATTGCTGTTGCAAATTGGGTCAGATTCCATTAATAGAAAGGAGAAATAGAGACAGATGTTGAAAGTGAGAAAGAGCGAAGTGCCACACTCATGACACTTCTCATTAATTAAAAATAAAATGCCTACTTTTTCACCGGAAGTTGGAGCCTTGCGAAGATTTGGAGGAATGACATAAAGTTCAAGTGCATGAAACCTGAGGTGCAGTGAAGAGCCCTTGAAAGGAGACGGGGTGTGGTGGGGGGGACAGTCTCTGTCAAAGGAGTGAGCGTTGTCAGCTCTCAGTGACCGCCATTCTGCCTCTGGGGGTTTTGAAGCAAACTTTCTGAAGTTCAGAGTGGAAAAAAGGTCAAAGTGGTACATAAGCAAAATAATTTTTTTTTTTTCGGTAAGAAAAACATACATGAAAGAGAAGATTTATTTCTTGATGGTGATTAAGTTCCATTGGCACCTCTGCTGCTTGGCCACTGAAGGCTGAGTTGTAAGAGGAGAGTGTGAAACAGGCCCCGAGTGGCCTGCCGCCTGCCCGTCCACTCACCAGACTGTGGCTATTTGGCATTTGACGAGTGGCACCAAGTGGGAGGAAATCTAGATTAAGAATAGCTTTGTGCTTCAACCTATATTATGTATAATCGCAATTTACCCCTAAGATTAATTTAGCATAAACAAAGCATACCTACTCTGGGTAGCTGCTTCTAGTGAATACTCTAAATTCCTTTTAGTTAAAATTAGGTTACAGTGGACAGGGGACTTTTCTTTTAAACTCTGTCAATTGTTTTGACAACCCAGATCATTGCTTTTCTTACCCTTTAGTTGGGTTGTTCAGGAAAACCATCATTCAGGAATGTGCTTTGTTTCTTGTTGACACCCTCTTTTTTTCCCTTATTTTAGAAAACGTGCAGTCAGACCTCCTTCACAAGTACCAGAGTAAAGATGACATTCTCATCCTGACAGTGCGGCTGGCTGTCATTGTTGCTGTCATCCTCACAGTGCCGGTGTTGTTTTTCACAGTGAGTACAGCCTCAGTGCAACCCGAGAAATGCCGAGGGCTCGCCTTTCCCTCTGTCTTCAAGGGCCCAGTCCAGAGGAGGCCGGATGCAGGTAGCTTTCCTGTGTCACTGAACCTGCGTCAGGGAGAAAGCTCCCAAGACGCTGTTGAGACCCTTCAGAAACAAAGCGGGATCAGTGAGATAGGGTAGACACCGATGGAGCGAATCTTATTTCTAAGGAACCCATCCCTCTTTTTTGTAGCGAGATGCAGGTAGAATGTTTGAATTCTACGATGAGAGAATGGAGAAGGACCTGAAGGGAACACTTTTGCCATAGAGAAAACAAAAACAGAAATTATCCCCCCTACAAGGAAACAATCTGTTCATAAACAAAAACACCTTTCTATCTTAAATGAAGCCCCTCTGCTCCTCAAACTGTTAGGCTATGATGAATTACAAACATTTCACAAAGCCCTGTGCACCAGGACGTCCGCTTCTGCCGAGAGCGGTGCCAATTGGCTGCAGGCTGTGACAGACCTTTGTTTTCTCTCCTTGCAGGTTCGCTCATCTTTATTTGAACTGGCTAAGAAAACAAAGTTTAATCTATGTCGTCACATCTTTGTTACCCTCATACTCTTGGTTATTATCAACCTGCTGGTCATCTTCATCCCCTCTATGAAGGACATTTTTGGAGTCGTAGGTATGGCTTTATGCCTCCATGCTTGTTCTACAGCAGCTATTTAAGAAACTAAAATGTCACAATAACTTCAAACTTTTTTTTCTTATTTTACAGGTGTTACATCTGCTAATATGCTTATTTTCATTCTTCCTTCATCTCTTTATTTAAAAATCACAAACCAGGATGGAGATAAAGGAACTCAAAGAATTTGGGTATGTCTTATGCTAGCCACCCTAATTTTTCTGATTACTTTTACACTTAAATTTGCCAAAGAAGTAGTCCACCTCTACCATCTAATACTAATTTTAGCAGCCTTGAAGAAATGCAGCAGCACTGTAGATTTCCCCTTTGGGAGATTTAAAATATATCATCAGAATTCTATTACCTCAAAAATATCTTTTCAGGTTACTCTTGCTCTACCTTTGCTTTTGCTCTGAGCTAGGGCAGGGCCTGCTGGGAGGCTGGATGTTTATCATCCTATGTCTCTATAAGGTGATGCTTTGTCTTTTGCAACAAAATGTAGTGGAAAGGGACTCACAGACTTTAGGCAGTCCACTGTCTCTGTACAGTTCCTAGTCTTGTAATTCCCCCTGCAGTTCAGGAAACATGTGATGCCTTACTTTAGATGGCTGAGTTAGCTTTTCAAGAGTCTTTTTATAATTTGACAGAAGTGCTTTGGAGCAGCAGACCTGGATTCAGAAACTACCTTTCTATATTGGGATTCTTGTTTCCAGGTCTGGTGAAGTTCAAGGGCATCTTCAAGGTGGTGCACTTGGAGACAGTGAGGGAAGCAGGGGTGAAGTGGCTGCTACATGAGTACCTTCTGGAGCACCATTTTGTTTGGCTTCGGAGAAGGCTTCTCAGCTGCCCTCCCAGATAGTGTAAGCACTCCACTTGCACATATTACCAGAGTCAACAGGCCTGAAAAAGAGACGTAGGCAGGAGGGATCATCCTTCTGCAGTTAGGAGAAGTAGCATTGGCGCTGCTAGAGCATCTCCTTCTCCAACAGGATTATCCCTGAAGCCATAACTCCCAAGTCCTTCTAAACCTTACCAGTCATTGCTCCATGAGGACAGAGAGGAAGGAGCGGTCTCTCTGGCTCAGCACTAAAATATACTAAGGTCTGAAGATGGAAGAGGCCTGTTGCCCGTGAATTCTCTGGGCTTCCCCAACCCTGCTCCCATAATGAAACTGGTGGTAGGAAATACTGAACAGCATTAGATAAGGGCTCCTACCCATTTGAGGACCCCCTGGAGTTAGACCAGACCCTTGATGGTTGGCCCATGAGCATCCCTCTAGATCCCGCCATTCGCCCCCTGTCCTTCCCTTAGCTCTGTCCTCCAGGTTCCGGTCCAGCCCCTTGGCCCTCATGATGCTTCACCCCGTCCCTGCAGAGCTCTCACTGGACAGTCTCAAGGCCAAACAACTCATAAGCTTGTGTTCTCCAGATTCTGGATTTAACAATCTATCCACTTGTGGCCTTCTCCAATCCTTTAAATAACTTAATTGTTTTCTTTTTTTTTACACTTAATATTATCTTGTATTAGTGTCAGGCTAGTGGTTAGACAGTCATTTACAAAGTGGTCCCCCAGCAATTTCAAGCACCCACTTGGCACCATATATAATTATTACTGAAGAAGTAAGTTAGTTTTTGAACCCATTTTCTATCTCACTTGATCAGATTTACTTTGCTTTTGTATCTTTTTTCCACTTTTCACACAGAAATGTTTGCCTGCCAACAATAACCTAGGTTGGTTGGTAAAGAGTAATGAAATGGCCTGTATGTTTTCCAAGGCCATTTTTTTTTAAGTTGTAATCTTAGTTTGAAAGCAGCTTTAAGGACACCCAGTCAGCTGTAGAACAGATTTCACTCTGTGGTGACCATAAAGTCAAAACACAGAATGTAGAGGACGGCTTTGTATAGTTTGCTCTTATTTCCCCATCCTTGGAGACCCAGATTCACACACAGTTTCAGAAAGATCCTCACGGTTCATCATTGGTTGCCACAAACTCCAAATACAAGGGCGCACAAACGGAGGGGGAAAGCGCTGATGTTCATTTCCCAGGTGCATGTGGGACATATTTGTGTCACTGAAAATAACCCGTGCCTTTCTGTTGTCCCAGGCTGCCCTTTTCTTGGGTCTAGGGGTGTTGTTCTCCCTGATCAGCATCCCCTTGGTCATCTACGACTGGGCCTGCTCATCGAGTGGTGACAAAGGCCACTGAGTCCAGCTGAGAAAAGGAACAGTCCTGTCTGCTGCTCAGTCCAGTCACCATACATCAGCCACTCTCATCATCTTCTTTTGCAAGTTTACAGAAGCAAACAAAAATGTACAAGATACTTAAAATGGAATAGCACTTTGGTAGCAAAATGGACCTGTTTCTTTAATGGCTCATGTCTCTCGAAGGTTTGGGATCAATGTAAAGATCATGGATTTTTTTTTTCCAAATTTCATGCAATCATATTTCCTAGTACTTTCCACAGTCAGTTATTTTTCACTCTCCTAACTCAATTTTTTGTGATGTCATGGTCTCTTAGAACTTTAAAATCATGATCACCAATCATGTTTATTTATTAGAGATACAGATTCTGAAATAATTTTCTTACTGATGTTCAGCTCATACTATCTGTACCTTTTTAGAAGAGACAAGACTCTTGAATTGTATATATTTATTTTGCTTTACAGAAAAAAATGGTTTCATAAATAATTTGCCTATTTTGGTTAACATAGCACACGCAGGGATAGTCGTACGAGAGTCGCAGGGCGTGTGCCGTTGCTGGGGCAGAGCCCGTCCGATACTTGAGGTGGCTGTGATCACCCGGTCGCGGCGCTCCTGCAGTCCGGTGGCCTCACCGGTACTGTCCTGCTCCACGCGGAGACGTTCTCTGGTGAAGGGCTCGCAGCTGGGGGTGGGGGTTGGGGGGTGGGAAGGATTCTTACCTTGGTAAATATATCAAACTACACATCTGGATAATCTAGCAAGTGAAGTTTTTTTTTCTGTTCTTGGCAACTTGTGTCAAAATTACTCTGATCTGAGTCAATTTCTACTGGAGGAGTCCCATGATGCCTTCATAATAAGTTGAAGAGCAAAGATGCTGCAAAAAGACTGTCCAAAATGCCTGAGAAAATATTCCTCGGATGCAGGTAGTCTTCAGCCCTGTACCCTACACTGTACTGTTGAAGAGGGAAAACATTTTCTTAAATTACAAAGTCAGCAGTTTTACTCATGTCCACCAGCTTTTGCACAGAGAATAACATGTATCTAACCAAGGATGATCTAGGATAAGTAATTCCTGTTTTATATTGGGTACTTTGGGGGGGTCTTTAAAAGACTTGTTTTATATCTATAAATTTAGGTTATTTCAAATATAAGATTTTTGTATCTTAAATAAGCCTCATTCCTATTTCTTCTCCATTAACAACCCATCCAGAGTCTTGAAGAAAGAGACCCCTCAGAGATAGTCTTTGAGGAGAACTTGTGACAAAACCACTAAGGACCTTCCTCCCCCCAGATGAGGACCTTGCTGTCTGTGTGTCTGTGCTCTTTGTTTTTGCTCCCGGCCACAGGGCGTTCCCCGCCACCCGCGCAGGAGGACAGAGCTGCCTCACACTCTTACCCCAGCCCCTGTCCTTAAGGCACAGGAAGGAAGCTACACTGAGTCTGGAAAAGAAGAGGGTGTGGGACAAATTAGCTTGGAAAGCAGTGGGGAACAGAAGCCCAGAACTGCCTGGCCCCTGGGCTGGGCCGTTGCCTGTGACTGGATCGTCCAGATTACACAGTAAGAAATGTGTGTGCTCTCAGAGCCGGTCTGTTGAATCAGGCCTTGTGTTTCAGTTGGTATATTCTGACTGAATTTCCCAAACACCTAAGTTCACAGAGCACAGATTTCTTATCCTGAGATAAGTAGGATTTAACCACAGACTCTTGGCAGAGTTTCCAGGTCCCGAGCTCTGGCTTCTGTTCCTCCCTCACTCAAATCCCCAGAAACCTCCACACTCACTGAGAGAACATGGAACTGTCCCCTCCCCTTTACAGACTAATGCCCCAAAGAAGAGGCAGGTGCCTTGTTGTGATCCTCCTGGGGGAGGAGAAAGGTTACTTCCTGCATTTCTGGGTAGGGCCATCATAACTTTTAATGTAATGTCCCAGAATTACATCCATGTTAGGTCAGAGTTCAGATATTTAGATATGAATAACTACCTGTAAATGAATACCTAATCCAGTAAAATGCTCTGTCCTTCTCAGCAGTGTCTTCCATACCATCAGAGGAGCGGGAAGAGAAACTGAGCAAAACAAGCCAAGTCAGTTGGCCCTGGAGCTTGTCTAGAGCACCGAGCAATGAAGTAGCTAGATAGTGGGAGTGACCATTAAAAAAAAAAACACATAATTTAGTTTCCAAGCTATATTCTACTTCTTATTTTCCTCATTAATTTATAACAATTTATTTTATACTCCCAACGTCAAATTAGAAATTAATCATTAACTCTTGGGGGAAAGAAGGATGTGTAGTGATATTTTTGGATCTCTGGATTTTATGTGTTAGTGCAAGGGATAATTATTATTTAAAATATATTTATTTAGAGGAGATACATTGTTGATGTCTGTGATACCACAGGTTTTTAAAAATATTCTTTATATGTTTGTTTGTTTTTGATTGACTATAACAGTCCCTACCGTAATTTGTCAAATATCACCAATTAATTACACCATTTGTGTCAGATTAGCTGTAAAGTATACTGTTCTCTTGTTCAGAGTAGCAAACTGGTAGCCAAAAATACATGTATCACAGATGTTAGGTAGAATTTAAACAACATAGTCAAGTACTATAGGAGTTTTTCTGCTAAATTAGTAGACTACAGACTCTTACACCTTAGCCATTGGGAGCAGCACGTTTTCCTTTGGTAGATAGCTCTCAGCACTAGTGAACAGTGCCAGTTTCAGACTTTAGATTTAGAACTGTTCTCTAGTTATTGCAATACAGAATACTGTAAATCCCTAATTTCCTTAATGTTACTTATTGGAAGTAGGGGTGGTGAAGTATGCACAGGAAAGAAATTTAGTCTTGTCACAGAGGCAGTCTCCAATTTATAAGCTGATCATATTGCAGAACACTGTTAGTTGATTATTTGCAACCTGGACTATAACAGGTATACATGGTGGTTAGGCCCCCAGACCGGCTAGAAAAGATTGTTAGACCCATGGTTTAGCTGAACTTAGATAATGTAACAAGATTGTTAAAGAACTTGACCACTAAATATTGTAGTCTTTCTAGGGGTAGTTGTTCAGAGTCGCCAAGGACGTGTCATTCCTATTATTAGTGGAATGTGGAGTGCCCACCGCAGCACACACACCTGCCAGATGGTGGGCGCAGGGTCGCCACCAGTTAGAGGGGACCAGAGTGGCCTGAAGCAGGGTCCCTGGCAAAGGAGGGGAAGAGTAAATCTGGGGCCGCCAGAGAACCTAGTGGTAGGAGGAGTATGAGAGAGGACGAGGGGGCCTCTTGTGAGTTGTAAACCTCCAGGGACCGACCTTCCTCAGCTGATACCTTCTTTTCCCTGGAGGTCCCAGGCTTGGCCTGCCTGCTTCTATTTTTAGGACCTTTGCTGCAATAGTTCATCTTCCCTGCTCACTACACACACAGAAATGATGTTGCTGCAGAGCCTCTGCCATATGCCAGTTCCTGGAGCCAGCATATAGCACTTTTAATGGGTTTAGGGCTGGCTAACCATGGTTTCACTGCCCAGTAATCAGATGGGGGTGAAACCACGCTCTACCCACTTTCCCTTTTTCCCCCATTTGCACACCCTGTAGAGAAAGGCACAGCTGGATGATGGTCTTGGGGCTTGGAGTGGACAAAGGACTGGTAGGATTCCATGGTATTTCAGAGGACCCCGCAGTTATCCCTGAACTGACTTTTTTCTAGAGTTGGACTACAAGCCTCTAAGCCAGCGGTTCTCGAAGTGTGGCCCTCAGACCAGCAGCATCAGCATCAGATGGGAACTAGCGGGAATGCAAATTCTCAGGCCCCGCCCCAGAGCTAGTGAAGTCAGCCGACTCTGGGGGAGGGGGCTGGAGGAACCCCCGGAGTTTTAACGAGACCCCCTGGTCTTGATGCACATTAAGTTTGAGTACCACTCTGAGCCAGTTAATCTCGCTTTTGTTCTCCCCGTTAGTCCTACTCCTCGCAGGACAAGAACCAGGGGCTAGGACTTAGCGAGGGGAGGGGATGCCTCAGCAGCAGGGCCTCCGCCCCCTTCCCACTGAAAGCTGATGCAGGTGTTGAATTGTAAGCGGAGGCTGTCTGCACTCTGGCAGAACTTCGGGTTGAGGCACAGTAAGTTCACATTTTTCAGACATAGGAAGAAGGTGAGGTGCTACTGTTTCCTGGTTTGTTTGCTTAGGGGTATTTAAAGAATACACCCTTTGTAAATGCAACCTTAAAGGAAATAATGAATTCATGTCAGGAGTAAGTTCTGCAGAACGTTTGGGTTCATGATGTGATCAATCCCAAAGGGGTTTTTTTTAAAGTGAATTCTCTACGGAAAGGTCTGCACTGAGTAAGGAGAATAAGGAGCTACAAACTGCTTGGAAAAGAAAGTGGAGCTCAGTTCCGTTTCCGTAGATCAGAATGCTGGGCAGCGCAGTTAAGTGGCTTGGGGAGGAGGCCGGTGATATGATCAGATATTTGATTTTATGCCTTAGAGCAAAAACCATTAGTTTCTCTCAGTTTATCAATATAAATGGCTTGAGGCTTAGAAAGGGCATAAGCCTCAAGGATATAACTCCTCCATTCCAATTCACAGTAAACTTCTAGCCACTTTCAAAACAAAGAAGTTACATACTACAGCATTTAGCAGTGCTAATAAATGATTTCCTTAGGGATGGGCAGGTCTGAGAATCCTTCAGCGATAGAACCTACTTCCTCTAAAATACAGTGAATTATTTATGATATAAGGTTTTTGGGTACAAATTGGGGGTGGGGTGGCTAACAACTGAAAAAATATCACCAAATATAAAAGGGAAAGTTTTTGGAAAATATATAAAATTCACAAGGCTTAAGCATTCCCCTTTTGGGTTTTCTCGCAGGGAAGGGCTATGAAACTGGGCTCATCTGTATACAGGCTTGAATTTGTGTTTTTAAAAGGAAGTATCTATGCAGCTGAGGCTTTATTGTAGGAAATACTTCACTTGTATGTAAATATGCTGTAAATAAATAGGAGGCTGTATATTTTTGCAGTTGTTGATCCACACTGAAATAGAAGTCTCTAGCTTCTGTATATCAAGAATTAAAGTTTTCATAGATATTAGTGGTTTCATTTGGGAATTAGAAAATTTTACATTCTCTTCCAGGTAACATAGTTCTCTCAATGTAAACTTGGAACCTAAAAATCTTACTTAATTGTTTAGGAAGAGGCGTGTCTCAGAAATAGTTGTATTGATTTCTTATACTGATATTAAAGTCAGTTATTCAAAAGGTAGTCCTCTGAGCTACAACTAAGGAATATTTAGACCCAAATTATTATCATATAGATAGATGACCTAAAGTGACAAACGGTTTCTTCATAATGCTCTTCCACTGTTAACACTGGCACATACCACTACACAGTATTTATAAAAACAGAAGCTGAGGGGGAGAATGTTGTATTTTTCAAAATTGAATTGCTGCATTTCCCAAACTTTGGAATTTTTGAAAGGGGGAAGAATCTGAACATTAACTAGGAGCACAAATTTGAAGGAGGAAAAAAAAACATTATTTTATCAAGCTTTTGAAAGCCTTGCATGTTTGCTGTTTATTTTCAGTATTGACGCCAACACAGACTGTCTTCAGTAATTTTTTCCCAAAGCACATGAGTCTTCATCATTAGTATGTAGCCCGTTCTCTGGAGTCTAGTGTGTATTAGACCTCATCTAAGTCCAGTACATGTAGGCACACCTCTGTTTTATTAATGTAAGAACCTTGTAAATGAATTATAGAGGAATAATTTAAGTGAGTCACAAGTTACAAAACTTTGTTAATCAAATAGAGGTTTTGTTCCTCCCACCCAGAATGTGGTGTAAATAAAGAAATGTAAGAAATTCTGTTCTATAACTGCTCTATTAACATAGTTTTTAAACATTAAAAACATGAACTAAAACTATTTGTGAATCTTGTGTTCATTCTTTTGGGATGTAATGCTAAAAGATGGGGATGTTTGAGTACTTACTATGCACTCTATTCAGGATTCTTGAAGACAGACTTGCTCTCATTTGTCAGTGTTCTAGAACACCGAAGTCCATGCTAGTAATCTGGTCCAGAACATATTACATATTCCTCCCCTCTTCATAATCAGAGTAGGTTTAACATAACATTTTAAACTTGAGTTCATCTTTTCTTTACAAATACCATTTTTGTTGTATGTTGGAGGAGGGACTCTAGTCTTCCTCTACCTGAATTACAGCTGCTCATAAAACAGGAAATTGTGTCCACATTTCTACTTGTCCAGGAATGATTGAGGGGAAAGCTTTTACAGCCTGGCCTTTTCTTGTCCCTCACCAGCCCTGTCCCATGAATTTAGGAAAGCTGCATCAGACCAGCAAGATAGCCGGAGTCTAATAACCAGATTTCTCCGGTGGGCAGAGTCAGTGTAGGAACACCCGGGCCTCCCAGCGTGCTTGGATGTGGCCACCCATTCTGTGGGGCGACGCTGGTGCAGATGTGAGTATCAGGGTGGAAATCTGGAGCACAGGAGTCCGAGTTGTACACTCCACTCTTGCTCCGTTAGCAATAAAGCTGACATTTTTATACTTATGTGCATGCTGTTTGTATTTCATAACTGACCAAAACTTCAGGGGCAAAGGGTGTGTGAGTAATGATCGCTTTAAAACCCAAGTGGTTGTGAAAGTGCATGCATCCAAAAGGCTATTGTGGGTTTTGCTCTAAGTCAAAATGTCCCCAGTCCTGCTGTACTTTTGATGGCTCTTTTTCCACTATGGTTCCAGGAGTGTCTGCTAATACCATTCTACTCTGCCCTGTTTGACACTTAATTGTCTGGGTAAGGGTTATTCTCCTTCTCTCCTATGGAATAAACTATGGAGTTACTGATACCTTTGCAATTCTAAGGACCTCTTCACTTACCTTCTAGACTTATAATTGTGTTCTGCCTGGTTAGGATAGTCTGGAAGGGGCTAATAAGGCCCAAATAATGAGGCCAGTTTTTTGTATACCAATTCTTTATCTTTCATTAGTTTAAGTTTTAGACTAATCCAAATTTACAGGATAATCTGTTCTTCAGTATGGTCAATGCAACATCAAAATAACCTGTTAAATTATCAAAATGTATTATGAAGCTATAATATGACATAGATTTATACAGACGTACAAATAAATAAATAGAACATAATAGAGAACATATAGGTAAATGGCCCAAATAACACCAGAAAAATGGCCTTTCAAATCAATAGGGAGAATAAGAGTCACTCAATGGTGAAAAAAGATGACTAGTTTTTTTTTTTAAACAAGGCCAGCAAAGTTTAATTGAATTTCCTAACATCACAGAGTTAATATTAAAAGATAATGACTAGCATTTTGAAGAAAATTAAGTTAGATCCCTATATCATCCCCTGTATCTAGAGAAAGCTCAAATATATTAAAGACTTTAATCATGACACAGGTAAATATATCTTCTTGTACAGATGTAAATATATTACTCTCATATAAAGAAGTTGTGTCAAAAATTTTATTTAGCTCATTATTAATGAAGGAACAAGTAAAATGTTCAAAAATAATTCAAAGGAGAATTCAAGGAACAGCACATATATGAGCAATCAGGGATGCTAAAATGAATTTGCTAATAGATGTGAAACTGGCCTTCCTCACAGGGGGTCATTAATTGCATCTCACCAGACAGAATCCATTTGCTTCTCTGGGCAATAATAATTTCTCTATGATTTTCCTGAAATTTACAGAATTATAAAATAGCTCAAAACCTCCCCCAAAAGTGTGTGGGGTGGCAAAATTTGTCTAGAATTAGGTAACCTAGAAGGGACATCTAGAATTGCATAGAAAATACACCTGGCAATCTTTCAAAAAGTTGCCTTTCAAAATGCTTTCCAATTTCCTCATTTGTGAATATAAAATTTCAAAGGTTATTCTTGGTTATAAAAATAAAGGCTGATGTTATTAAGTCTAGCCTGATTGTTTGCATAGGTCCAACAGTGTTAATTAACCAATAGGCTTCCCTGGGTTTGCTTTGTAATCTGGAGGATTGGACAGTTAGTAGCCACAGAATTGCACTTTTACAAATCTATTATTTGCTAGCTCAAGGCCAGGAAAGCAAGCCCAAGAAACTCCACTTTATTTCATCAACACAGTCTGTAGATTTGGGGGGATTCCTCTCTGCCTGAGTTCCCCAAAGTGTGATAAGATTACTGGCCTGAAAGGAAATGCCCTTTCTCACCACCTGTAACGATGGTAGCAGGCCAGCTTCCCTAGGACAGTTTTGTTCTCCTTGGCTCCATAAGTTAAAAAACCTTTGTTCCTTAGAGTTGTTTGACCTAACTGATTAAGTGATCATCATTCTCAAATATGACATTCCAAGAAATCCATGGGTCCATAATCAATTTTTTAAAAAATTGTATACTGGTAGAAATGAAAAGTTCTCATTGAATCTATGCCAATACCAATATTGTAAAAAAAGTAAGCAAGTAGAATTTTTAATTTGGGGGGAAAATGAAGGCAAATTCAGTGAGAAGCAGAAGGAAGTTTAATTTCACTTTACAAAAGCAGAGTCCACTGAATTGTTGTAGATTAAAGATAGCTTAAGAAGAAAAAGAAATGGCCTCCTATATATCCAGAAAATAGGGCATTAAAACAGCCTCAACACAACCACAGTAAATTTCCTTCATCAGTCCATTCCATCCTTTGTAATTGTGTTCTGTTGAGTCTTTGGGTTAGCATTTTGCTCTCATAAAGTTGTCTGCTTCTGAACTAACAAGAGTCCTGTAAATCAACACTCACTCCACAGGTACAGCCTGAAAGTAGTCTATGTAATGTCAGCTCAGAAGCCTGGACCCAAGAGTCTATTCCTTGAAATGTCAGTTGTTGTACCTGACACAGTCCTTTTCCATGAGACTCTGGGGTTGTGTCTTTGTTAAAGAAGCAGAATTTAGCCCTGGCTGGTGTGGCTCACTGGATTG